CGCGGGACCTTTAAATCGGCCGCCCCGGCGCCGGGCCCGGGCCCGCGACCGACTGAGCGAGCGAAGACCCGACGCCGGACACCATGGCGCGCCGCCTCCCGGGACTGCTCCTGCTGCTCTGGCCGCTGCTGCTGCTGCCGCCGCCCCCCGCGGCCCCCGCCAACCTCGGCCCCTCGGCCCGCCCGGCCTTCCGGAGGCTGGGGACCCTCGGCCCCCGGGGCAGCCCAGGGCGCCGTCCGGCTCCCGCCGCCCCCACCGGCGCGCCCTACTCCTGGGCCGGCCAGCCCGGCGGGGCCCGCAGTACAGGTACGGCCCGGGCGGGGGGGGCGTGGCGCGCCGGGGGAGACACCCTGCAGGGAGCAGAGGGGGAGGGTGGGGGGGCCGGGGACCCGGGCGCGGAGCTGCTCCTTCCATCGCAGCCGGAGCCATCGTGGTGCGGGAGAAAAGCATCCCCTCCCCGATGAATCCCATGGGGAAACAGGTCCAGAGAAGGCAGGGAGATGCTTCAGGTCACTGCTGGTCAGGGCTAGGATTTGGGTCTCCTGAAGCCCAAACTGCAGCAACTGCCCCCTCAGGATAGGGCAGCTGTGGGATCACGGGCGCCTCCCAGCTCTCCGTCCCAGTCCTTACCTCTGGCCCACCTGAACAAACCCTTCTGAGAGTCTGCTTTTAGTTCTCTAGAAATAGCTCCATCTCTGTGGCCCCAGATCAGTGCTTGACCCTTCCTGCCCACCTGCAAGCCCTCAGGCTGCCTCAGTCCCATCTAGGAACTGGACCAGAATTCAGACTCTCCAGTCCGGGCTTGGGGTGTGAGGCCAGGAATGAAACCCAAGTTGCCCCCCTGGATGCCCAGGACCTGTCTTGTAACCATCCTGGTCTCAACCTCTGTTCTCCTGCCCTTGACTTACATGTTCTGCTTCAGTACACTGGGCCCCAACCCCTACCTGTGCTCTCAGGTCCTCAAACACCCAAGACGCTTTGGGTCTTTGGTGAACAATTCCTTTTCCCTTTCGGGTCAGTAGTTAGTTCCAGTGGCAGAGCACATCCAGAGCAGCAGAGCTGGACGATCATGTCACAATCCCTAAGAGCCCATATGGGAAACTGAGCCTTGTCCAAGTGAAGGGACCGAGTCAATCAGTGTCAGAGCCCAGAATAAAACTCAGGGGTCGGAAATCCCAGGAAAGGGTCTTTCCACGGCGACAACCTACCAAATTCTTAATGTGGTTTACATGAGATTTAATCTTCATTACCCAAACTCCAGCTTCAGTCTTGCTGGACAGAGGCTGCACCAAACCATTTTCTGGGTGTCCAGTCTCATGTGGCTAGTGATGCTGCATGCCTCAGGTTGATTTGTGCCGTCTGTCCCCTCCTTTCTGGATAATGTTGAGAAAGATCACCAGGATTCTTTCCCGCACCAGCCCCGTTGGGCAGGATTGGAAATGGCAACAGCATTGTCATTGAGCCAGGACATGCCAGGGTTCACAAGGGTTAAAAATCAGCTAGCTGGTTGCTCCTGGCCAGGAATAGGGGGAAAGCCTTTCTTCTAGAAGTTAATCTTACCGCTGGTCCTGACCCACCTTCCTTGTGAATAGGACTGGGAGGGGGAGGAAGGATTTTGCATGGGGTGGACATGTTCCCCCTAAGCAGCCTTGGTCCTTTATTATCTGGAATCCAAATTGATCTTGAATGATAATCCTTTAATAGACATCACATTCCATCCTTTCCCAAATTCCCTCCCTTTTCTTTTTTTTTTTTATTTTTAAAGATTTTTTTTTTTAAATTGGGGAATTGGGGGATAACAGCGCTGGGGAATTGGGAGGAAGGGGAACAGACAAGTTGCTGTCGTTTTGTTCTTCAGTCTAGTTGTGGAGGACATTGCTTCACTGGCCCAAGTTGGCACCATCATTGCGCTCTTCCCTGGCGAGGCAGATCAGTCGCCGGCTTCTGGACGGCCGCTCACTGCGGCTGCTGGCCGCTCACGCTGGCTGCTGGCTACACACGGTAGCCCATGGCAACCCACTGCCACAGGGACTGCAGCCCACGCCGTCGCCGGCGACTCATGGCAGCCCAGCTCCAGGTTGAGCTGTTGTTCAGCATCTTAGCTGTGGAGGGCAGTGTCACTGGCCCTCACATGTGGGATCCGAACCGGGGCCCTCTGGCATCCCAAGCGAGTTCTTAACCATCGCGCCACTCGGCCGGCCCACCTCCCTTTTCAACCAAATATTGCTAAGCTTTGCTAGCAATTTCTGGGCTTTTATTTCTAGCATAACTATCAGAAATCGGCAATATTGTGAGTATGGAAACATCTTAGGAAATTCAGATTCTCACTTTCTTGGTTTCTGAGAATCCAAGTGCTACTGCCTATTAAAGGGGAGTAAGATTCAAAAGCAATTAATGATGGGGCAACTAATAATTCCCAGGGGGATCGGAATTAGGAAGTAATCAGATGATCACAGAATTTCCTGCCATTCATATCAAGCCCCCCTGTATGTCTATTGCTGTTGCTATAAGTTACCATGAAATTGGTGTCTTAAAAACAACACATTTCTTATCTAAGAGTTCTGTAAATCAGAAGTCTGACGCTCATCTCACTGGGCTAAAATTAAGATGTCAGCAGGGCTGTGTTCCTTTTGGAAGGCTCTAGGGGAGAATCGGTTTCCTTGCTTTTTCAATTGTGGAGGCTCCTCTTATTCATGGCCTTCCCCTCTATTTTCAAAGCCACCAAAAGCAGGTTGAGTCCTTCTCACATCTCATCCCTCACATCTCCTCTTCAGCCTCCCTCTTCTGCTCTTAGGGACCCTTGTAATTACATTAGACCCACTTGAATAATCCAGGGTAACCTCCCCATTTTAAGGTCTTTGACTTAAACACGCCTGCAAAGTTTCTTTTGCCATCTAAAATAACATGCTGACAGTTTCTGGGGATTAGGACATGGACATTTTCCGGGGAGGGGGGTGCATTATTCTGCCCACCATACCCTTGTAACTTCACATAGAAGATCCTGTGTGAAGACCCAAGTGGAGAAAGAAGGAATCAGACATATTTACTTATAAGAACATAACCTTGATATTAATACGGGCACTGATTAGGTGTTGGGGAAAGCATTGTCAAATATGGGGTTTATATCATCTTGCAATTTTCCTCTTACTCCTGTTAATGCAAAAATACCTAGATCCATCTCCAGGAAGAACTTTCAATATGTGTTTTCTTCCTTGCTCCTGGTCCATGGTAATCAAGGGGTGAAGTGAAATTCTGGAGTTGTTTTTTTGAAACAGACTTAATTCCTTTTGACTTAACTAAATACACGACATGCAGCATATTTCAGGCTAGTGGCTGAAAGTCAACAAACAAGATGTTAACTAGGTACATGAGATAATGTTGATTTTTGTGATGGAAAATGTTGCCTCCGAGAAAGGCAACCATGCAGTGAAAAGCACCCCAGGCAGGGAGTCAGGAAAGCTGGATCAATCCATGTTCTACCACCTTCTAGTTTTTATGGCTCCCTGAGCCTCGGATTTCTAACCTGTAAAATGGGTATAAGAACAATCTCTACACCTCCGACTTCATAGGGTTGTTGTGTTGGTACCCTGTGATGTCTAAAGTGTTAGTGGAAGTAGGGTATTATTTATTTTCTTAATTGAATGCCTCCAGGAAGCAGGACAAAAGGATACTTTTCAATTTTTAAAAGAAAACCATAGGGAAACATAATTATTATCTCAGATAGGGCTGCTTCTGTCATCAACTGCTTAGCATATGAATTTATTTTGAATCCACCCTTTCCCCCTACTCACTGGGTGAACTGCCTTAGAGTGGCATCAACTTCCAGCCCCTATTAGGAAAGGAAAGAACCTTGATTGATGCTTCATGCACAAGGATCTTGTTTTTATTTATGCTTGGTGTGTATGATGAGTGTGTGTGTGTGTGTGTGTGTGTGTGCTGGGAGAGAAGGAGGAATGACTTGAAAAAGACTTTTTTTTTTTTTAGCTGAGCCATCCTGCCACCTGTTGGCAGCTCAGCTCGGGCCAGGAATTGAACCTCTGTTGCTCAGAGCTCAAACTCTTGAGCGAGCTCTTAACTAGCTGAGCCACTCGGCTGGCCCCAAAAGACATTTAGTAACTGGCTTCTCTTTTAGCCAGCCCTGCCGTGTGGCCTTGATGGCTAGGAGAGGAAGGAGTGCCAACTTAGATTGGTGGGGAAAAGGATAAGAAAGATAGATAAAAAACAAAATTGACTGTGTTTCTACAATGTGTCAAGTACTTTTGTGTAGGAAAGATATAAGTTCCTTGAGGGCACGGAATCTGGCTTATTTGCTTTTTTAACCCGAGGGCTTAATACATGGTAGGCCCTCAAAAACTTTTGCTGAATGAAAAAAATGAAAGAGAGGTGACTACGAGTTTGATGGGGCAGTGGGATAGATACCAAGTTGCAATCTCTGCTTCCTAAAACAAGTCACATTCACAAAATTGGAAGTGGAACAAACGTGGATCAGATTAAGTTGTTATCCCTCTTTCTACTTTCAACTTAGTTCAGGCTGGCTGGGCCCAGAGTTCACCAAACATGAGGGAATGACCAGATGGGGGAGATTTGGGCTACTCCGGATCAGTGTCCACCCCCATGGAAGTGGGCGGGGCAGAGTGTAGTGGGGCAGCCCTGGAAGTTCGTTCAGCTTCCACACTGCTGAGGGACACTTTGTCCCATTGCGTCAGAGAGCCAAGGTGCCCACTAAAGGCCTGCAATCCATTCATTCCTGGGAGTCCAGAGGAACTCTGGGAGCAAAACTTGAAGCAAAGGGGTGAGGTTCTAAGTGAAATTTCCAGTCTCCACCAGCCTCTAGGTGAGATGTCTGGGGACACTTCATCCTTCTTTGTGAATTCTCACTAGGAAATTCTGAAGGCCTAGGTGTTTTCAACATCCGGGGGGCAATGATCTTGGGGGAACATAGCAGACAGTGGGGCATTTGGAGGTAGAGGCTGCAGCTTTGCCTGGCCTCCAAGCCCAGAGATCTCCGCAGGTGAGGAATTGCCCCATTTCTGATTATGGTCAGATCGCTGCTTAGTCATGTCTGTTCCCCACACCTTTCCTTGCAGGCTTTTGCAAGAGCAGGCCCTTGGATTTGGTGTTTATCATCGATAGTTCTCGCAGTGTAAGACCCTCAGAGTTCACCAAAGTGAAAACCTTTGTCTCCCGGATAATCGACACTCTGGACATTGGGGAGGCGAACACGCGGGTGGCAGTGGTGAACTATGCCAGCACCGTGAAGATTGAGTTCCAGCTTCAGACCCACTCAGATAAGCAGTCCCTGAAAAAGGCTGTGGGGCGAATCACACCCTTGTCTACAGGCACCATGTCGGGCCTGGCCATCCAAACAGCAATGGAGGAAGCCTTCACAGTGGAGGCGGGAGCTCGGGGCCCCAGCTCCAACATCCCTAAGGTGGCCATCATCGTGACAGATGGGCGGCCCCAGGACCAGGTGAACGAGGTGGCAGCTCGGGCCAGGGCATCGGGTATTGAGCTCTATGCGGTGGGAGTGGGCCGGGCAGATATGGAGTCCCTCAAGATGATTGCCAGCGAGCCCCTGGACGAGCACGTGTTCTACGTGGAGACCTACGGGGTCATTGAGAAACTTTCCTCTAGATTCCAGGAAACCTTTTGCGGTAGGTCTTTGCTTTTAATTAGAAAGGATGTTATTGTCAGACATGAAATTATGAATCTAGAGAAAAAAAAATTTTTTTTTTGGTGGAAATTTTATAGAAAACTGAAATATAAGCAATGCTTTTTTGAGTGTTTTTTTTTTTTACCAACTTAAACACACTGTTGGGTTAGAAATATAGAGCTGCCTTATATGTAACTTGGTTTGCTCATAAAATCTCTGTGTTTGCATTAGAAATGTGCAGGTCTGGAAATATCCAGGATAAATGATCCTGCTGTTCCCTGATGGGGTCAGAAAAAAAATAAAAATAAAAAATTCAAAACGCCTCTCTTCTCCCCTCTGCCCACCACTACATTCCCGCCCCCCCCGGCCCCCCAGATATTTTCTTTAGTTTTACCATCTCTAGATTTCACAGAACTCTGCCTGTTTGCCTGCAGAAGGCAGGGCCCAGCGTCTGCCCACAAGGATCAGCTGGCCTGTGTTCCAGTGTAACTGGCAATCAGAGAGACATTTAGTGAATACCTAGTTTTCAGGTTTGGCTCCTTCTCTGATTGTTCTTATGGAGGGGCAGGGTTAGGAGTCAGGGCAATTGGGATTTCAGCTCACTTCACAGGTCGAAGGAGCAGGATTTTTTTTTTTTAAATCATTCTGTGACAGTCCTACTTTTTTCTTCCTTTAGGCTGAAGTTTGAAATTGGAATTTTTAGCATGGATTAGCCAAACCCATGAATATGAATCCATTCAAGGCTGGAGATTATTGTTAGTCACTGATCAGAATGATGAATCTGTGGGGCTCATACTATTTTTAAATTTTAATTTTTAAACTTGTTTCTTTCCTCCCTCCCTCCCGCCTTCACTCACTCCTCTCTCTCTCTCTCTCTCTCTCTGTCTCTCTGTCTCTCTCTGTCTCTCTCTGTCTCTCTCTGTCTCTCTCTCTCTCTCTCTGTCTCTCTCTCTCTCTCTCTTCATGCTTTATTTTATTTCATTTGGGGATAATCTTCTGAAGCCCTCTATAGAATTTTCCAAGCAGATGTGGACAAATTTCTAGTTCAGGTGAATTTTAAAACGTAAATACCTTTTGCTGTATAATCTATTCCATATTTATGTATTCAACATGCATCTATTGATTTCTGATGGTACAAAGATATAGTTAGTCCCTTTGTACCATCAAACAATAGTCTCGGGGTGGGGATGAGACAAACAAGTGAACCAATAATTACAACTGTAAATTTCAAGGAGACTGTATATCTAAATTAATGGAAAACTGAGCAATCACCGGTTTGTCAGGAAATGGGAGATGAAGTCTTGGTCTGGAGCAAAGTTTGGCCTCATCTCAGCAAGACCTGCTGGGATCCCCTCGTCTTTCCTGTTCTAGGACACTGGGCTTTCACAAGCGGTCATTGGCTTTGGTGGCATCCACTTGGCATTCATTGGTTTCCCCAAAGAAAATGGCTTTCTTTCTCCCAGGAAAACCCCCCATGCTTGTGGGTGAGAGCTTTTCCATAGAGACTTTGGTCTGTGACAAAGTTGGGTCTCAAAGCTAGCACCTGGGATTGGGTTTGAATGCCATAAAGTAACAAGTGGTGAGTGGCAAACTTTTCCTCTTGTACAAAAGACCTGCTTGTTCTGGGGGGAAAATGTCCTCTCTCTGGAAAAAAAGGTTGAGGAGAAGCTTGTCCATCGGCTGGAAAGATCATTCCATGAAATGGCGCTTCTTGGGAAAATATTAGCTTTGTCTTGTTGCCAAAACAGTGGAGGCTGGGTTACCTGCCGCAGGGGTAACCTTCTCCAACAGTCCTCCATGGTTTCTCAGAAATGACTAAATTCATTGATTATTCAAAACGTCTCACTAAGAAAACAATCCAATGCGATATAATTGGCTCTAGAAGGGAAAAGATGGAGATGCAGTTTAGCTAATGTAGTCTCATCTATTCTGTTCTTTCTTTTCTTTTTACCTGTTCTCATATAGCCTATAAGTTTATTCTTGCTGTTATTAGATGCCCTGAAGTTGCGTATGTATACATTTGTTGTATATTCACAAGACAGGTACCTGTATTGCCTTCCACCATGCAAATATGCATTGCCGCCCAGCTGTGAGTACCAGGCCTTGAAGAATGCCTGTGTGTGAATTCTGTTTAGACACAAACTATAGAACCCTTGGAAGGCAGATTCTGGCTGTAGTGGGCCAACTAGCTTATAGAACTTCAGGAAGTACCATATTGTTCTCCCCATTTCTTGCTTTGGAGAAGCAAAAGTCTTTTTCATGGGCAGGTGGATAAGTTGAATGAATATCAGGTTGTGTGACCCAGGTAAATGTTTGGCTTCAGCTCCAAGTTCAAATTTCTCGTTCTCCTTTGAGAAAGTCGACAAGATCTGTGATTTTAAATTAGTAGCATTGCTGGTTTCGGAGCGGTGTTTCTAATACACTTCAAGGCAGAAGCAAGTAGCTAGTTTTTACAGTGAGCTAAAGATAGGCTTGGAAAGAAACCTGAGCGCGATGTCTTTTTGACATGGGAGAAAGTGCCTGAAATGTTGCTTACGTGTTGACACTGACTGTTGTCAACTTCCTTTGCACAGCTGTGGATGCATGTATGCTGGGCACACACCAGTGCCAGCATGTGTGTGTGAGTGACGGCGATGGCAAGCACCACTGTGAGTGCAGCCAAGGATATTCCTTGAACGCCGATAAGAAGACGTGCTCCGGTGAGGCCTGCTTACTGTGGTGGCTGACTAGAACTCATTTGGGGACCTTCTCTTCCGGTTTTGGACGGGCCTTACGCTTTCCTCCTAACTGCCTTTTGGCTGGTTTACTGTTGCTTATCAAAAGTTTCCTCGAAATGGAGCATGAAAAGAAAAGGGAGATAATATGTAAATCAGCCTATTACAGTACTTACCACTAGTTTTAGAGAAAAGGATTAGTAGGGAAAAGGGCTAGTAAGGAAGAATGCCAACATTCTCAGTCCTTTCGAGGGTCTGGAATGTTTCCTGGATTTTATTTAATTAAATACAAGCTGTCCTTTCTCCTCTATGATCACAGGTGCTTATGGAATCTAGAGGAAGAAAATTTAGAGAGGCCCTCACAATCGGGTGTATGAGCACTCACATACAGTCAATAAAGAAGGGGAATTAGGTCCATTAAAAAAAACAAACATCCTAGAAAAAAGGTTTTGAGAGGAAGAAAATTTAGAGATCATTTAATTCAACCTACCCATTTTGTAGATAGTGAAGCTGAGACTCAAAGAAGGGAGAAAACGTACCCATGTCATAGGGTCTGTTAGGGAAAGAGCCAAGACTAGAAAGTTGGTTCCCAACTTCCAGCCCAGTAACCTTCCCCTTGTGCCAAGCTACCGCTTTTTAGCCGTGTGTGTGTGTGTGTGTGTGTGTGTGTGTGTAGTGTGGTGCGTAATTATTTGTTTAGCACTTTTCCATGTGTTCACATTTGTCCTGATCATTTTTGATAGCTATTGATAAGTGTGCTCTTAACACTCATGGATGCGAACAGATCTGTGTGAATGACAGAACTGGCTCTTACCATTGTGAATGCTATGAAGGTTACACCTTGAATCAAGACAGGAAAACATGTTCAGGTAAGTGGGGGGAAGAGGCTTTACTATTGCTACCTCCCTGTCTACCTAAGCTCCCTGGCCAGGCTTGGAGGGGTAGGTCACACTGACAGGGAACTTGATCTGTTTTCCTCTGTTGCCGCCCTTGGCTTTTTCCATTTCTAAGTCTTGTTAGAAAAGGTAGCGTGTATGCATCACGGCCCACATGTGTGAGTCGCTGTTCTTTCCCTTCTCTGTACACAGCCCCAACAGTCCTTTCCAAATGCTAAAGGCAATTTAATAAGTTAAAGTCAAATAACATCCCACAAGATATTTATTACGTACAAAGGGAACACAGTAACTTCATAGCGGGGTAACCTGGTGGACACCACTTCAACCAAATGATCCAAGTTAACATCAACAGTAGTGACACACAGTGACATCATGCATTTCCTGACAAGATGTACTGAGGACACAGCAGCGTTTCTGTGGTATTCTTCCTAAAAATTCAGAATCACGAAGAAATGTCGGAACCACCAAAAACGGAGAGGAAAGTAATTTTCCAGAACTTTTCAAAAGTGTCAAGGTCATGAAAGACAAAGAAAGACTGAGCAACTATTATAGATCAGAGGAGACTAAGGAGATGTGACTATTTAATACAATGTGGGTCCTGGATGGGGTCCTGGACCAGAAAAGGGACATCAGTGGAATAATGGGCAAAACTCAAATGATTAATTAGATTAGTTGATCAGTAATGAATTAATCTGTAGATTAGTTAATAGTGTTGTGTCTGTTAATTTCTTGGTTTTGATTATTTATACCATGGGTACAGAAGATGTTAACATTTCGGGAAACTGGATGAAGAACAGGAACTCTTTGTACTATTTTTGCAACTTTTTCATGTGGCGAAATTATTTCGAAATGAAACGTTTAAAAATAAAAAACAGTTTGGGGCCGGCCGAGTGGCTCAGTTGGTTAAAGAGCTCGTGCAAAGTTTGAGCTCTGAGCAACAGCGGTTCGATGCCCGGCCCGAGCTGAGTTGCCGCTGAGCTGCCAACAGGTGGCAGGATGGCTCAGCTAAACAAACAATCAAAAATAAAAAACAGTTTAAAAATATGTCAGTACTGAGTGACAATTTGGGTCTTGAGTTCTGATGTTGCTCTTGAATCAGTTGGGTCTCCTTTGGACTCAGCTTCCTCATTATAATAGGAGAGGGCTGAGGTATAATTCCTTCCAACTCTAACTCTATGTACTTCTCTCTTTTTTTTTTTTTAAAGTAGACTCCTTTTTTTAAAATTTATTTTTATTTTTATTTATTATTATTATTTTTTTAGCTGAGCCATCCTGCCACCTGTTGGCAGCTCAGCGGCAGCTCAGCTCAGGCCGGACTCGAACCGCTGTTGCTCAGAGCTCAAACCCTTGAGAGAGCTCTTAACCAACTGAGCCACTCGGCTGGCCCTCTATGTACTTCTTAATCTAGTGTCATTAGCCACACGATGGTTAGTATCCCTCTGATTCAACATAAATACAAATAAACCTAAAAGGAATGCTTTAGAAAGTATTTAAGAGATACTTAGATGATAAAAACACAATATAGATGACTTTGAAAAGGAGATGGGGAAAGTAGAAGAATATTGTGCGTGTAGGATTTTGTTTAACTCGGCTAATTTCTAGTAAGAGCACATAGTCCTGATGGCTTTGAAAGGTTTCTCATAGGCTTTCTTCTTACATATTTCTAGCTGTAAATAAGATCTGTGTGTATGGTTAATAAAAGACTTTTCCGCTTTTAATTTCATTTCAACTGGACTTTTTTTGTGGCAGCTCAAGATCAATGTGCTTCAGGGACACATGGCTGTCAGCACATTTGTGTGAGTGACAGAGCTGGGTCCCATCACTGTGAATGCTATGAGGGCTACACTCTGAAGGGAGATAAAAAAACCTGCTCAGGTAAGGCCCACTCAACAATCTCTTTTATACGTGACTCTTTCTGTTGTAGTGAAACCAACTTGCAAATTTACTGAGAGAGAGTTACTTCAAGGTAATTTAGAGAATCGGGCTTCAGGCAGCCTACTGTTCTTCTAGACTAAGGCACATGTTGCTCAGAGGGCAGTGAGCTCACTAGATTCTACAAACATGGTTGTCTTCAGAGAATTGCATGGAAACGGGTAGGGAGTGGGGGGATATGAGGAATCTAATTGAATGTAGGATCCTTATCCAGGAAAATTTTATGGCTCTGGACACTGGGCGCTTGTAGAGCAAGCAGGAAACATCAGAGGAAATCAGCTGGACAGAACCCATTTGGTGTGATAGGCGGAACTGATCGTTTTCCAGTTAAAACTTGGCCTGGAACTTTCCTGTAACCTTAATGTTAAAGCTGGATCGTGTTAGTAAAGGAGGCTTTGTAAATGACTGAATTAGACCCACACAGATCTTCCAGTAAGTTTAAAGCAAGCCATTCCCTGACGTGTTTTAGATGATCAATCTTTGGTGAATCCGAGCCTTCTGACTTGGCTAGCGAGCCCGTGCCAGAACACTAATACTCATTAATTTGATTTAAACTCACTGGCAGAACAGGGTGACATTTATAACGTAAAAGCACTCCTCAGAGAAATTCCTAGCTCTCCAGGTGGTGTTTAGTTTTGACATATTCAATATATATTTTTTTACATTTTACGTATATTTTCCTCTCTCTTGACGAAATATATTAGGTGATCTTTTCAAGAGGGATGAAGGGAAATGGCATCTCACCAATTCCATCTTTTAAAAAACTGAGATGGATGAAAGAGTACTAAGCACCTATTTTGTTCCCAGGACTGTGCTAAGCACTCTGGGGCTATAAAGAAGCATACATTTCTGCCTCTGAGCAACTTACAGGCTGGGTGTAAAGAGAACCAACGCCTTAAGAAAGCAGAGATTAAGTAGCCAGGGAGAGAGACTGACTGTAACTAAGGGCTGTGGAGGCTGGGAAGCGACACAGAAGGGATGGGATGGAGGTGGGCCTTAGAGGATGGTGAAGGTTTAGATGGAGGAGTGGAGAGGTGGCGAGGGCAAGGGGAGTGGCTTGTGCAAGGGGGCAGGACTAAGTCACGTGGGGTAGAGAGGACTCATGGCTGCACTTCCCAAACCTTTACAAGTATCCCACTTGGTACTGTAAGCTGCCAGGAACATTGAAGACCTGGGAAAAGGAAAGAAAAACAAATTTACACTTAAATTAACAGATATTATGGAATAAAATGGAACATTTTGTTTAAGAAAACTCCAGAAAACATCAAAGAAAATTTTCAATCAAGGCAGATGACTCCAGGAATACCCCCAGATGACAGCACCCTACTATATGCATGCACGGTTCTAGGCATTTTGGACACAGACATAATCACAGAAAATTTATGAGGGGACTGAGGCATAGACAGATTAATGAACTTGCCCTCGGTCACTCAGCTAATGAGTACTTGAGCCAGGATTTGAACCCAGACACTTGCTCTCATGGTTATATATGCACTAAAATACTAAGCTATACTGTCTTGTGGTTCAAAGCACAGGATAGCAAAGGGAGATAGAAGAGAAAGACAAGATGGCAGAAAGTATTTATGTATTTTAGAATAATAATGGAATGTACTCTAAAGCTGGGGTACTTAACACGGGTCAGCTCCCCTCTAATGGCCTGCTTTCCCCTTGCTGGACAGTACGAAGGCTTCTAAATTAAATGTGGAGGCCCTGATCAGAGGCCAGGGATGGAGGCATGTCCAGTTGTTATCTCTAGAGTCGGCTGCTAAACTGGGAGGAGGGGAGGAATGAAAGTTTCTATTAGGCATTTTGCTGGAACAATCTGAATTATAGTGAGGATGGGGGCTCTCAGCGTTAAAGCTGGAAAGACACTTTATGGGTAGATTATACAGAGCCTTGCGTTTCATGCAAAGCTATTTTATAGGTAATAGTGAGCCTTGGAAGGTTTTTGAGCACAGAATGACACTTAAGAGAAAAATTGGAGACGAACAAATAAACTAGTTTGGCCCCTGTGATGGCAGAGGAAGAACCTATGTGTCCCAGGAAGCCTTTCTGCATTTGCTAAAGGAGAACTGCTGTTTTCATTTGTCCCGGGTCACTTGGGTCATGGGACTAGTATGGTACTTTTTTCTGCTCCCCACTCAGATTTGGTCAAACTGTCTCGCTCCATGAAATGTATTTACTTATGACAGATAATAGATACTTCACTATCCAGCCCTATACATCACCATTTTTCTCTTTATCTGCACACGCACATGCATGCACACGTGCATGCGTGCGTGTGTGTGTGTGTGTGTGTGTGTGTGTGTGCATGTGTGTAGGTCAGTGTTTTCTGTTCTACTTTGTAACCTATCAAAGGCAGACGCTTGGTCATTGGAGTCCGTTTTGTGCAGCATCAAATTTAGCTCCATGTGCACATAGATTTCTAGTAATAATTTTGGTGGTGGTGAAGATCTGTAGTGGAGATGTCGGAGGCATTGATGGTCATCAGGAAAGGCAGAAGGTAAGCTCTGGAAAAGAATCAAGCCTCAGGCAGCCCCAGTGCTGCGGGTAGGACACCAGAGAAAGGTACCCCCAGATATTGGCCAGAAATAAAAAGGAAAGGGGTGTATGCAGTAAAAGGTGAGGCGAAAGGGATGTGAGATATGGGGAAGGAAATCAGGCTGCTTCTGAAGCCGAGAGAATTGTCGATGAGTGACGGATTCCTTCTCAACACTTGTTGGGACCAAACAAGAGCTTTTTTTCTCCCAGAAGTCTGTGTTTGGTTTTCTGTTGTAATGTAATTTGTGTGACTGTTTTCTTGCCTGCACCGCTCCTGGTCAGTTCGTGACAAGTGTGCTCTGGGCTCCCATGGTTGTCAGCACATTTGTGTGAGTGACGGGGCCACGTCCTACCACTGCGATTGTTACACCGGCTTCACCTTGAATGAAGACAAGAAGACATGTTCAGGTGAAGACCGCTCCTTTCATCCTATTTCGTTGGGTAGGACCACCTAGGAGGAAGCCTGCCTCTGTCCAGGTCGGAAGTACAGTTCTGAGTTTTCTTCCTGGCTGGAATCCTCCAGGGGTTCCCAGTTGTCATCAAAATGAAACAATTCTAACTCCACCATCAATCATTCTTCCCTCCGTGATCTGGTTCATCCTCTCTCTAATTTGAAAGGAAAATCACTCTTGAGTGTGTTTTCTACTCCTGGAAGGTGGGGATTCCAGCATGATTTATCATGGCGTAGGCACTGGCCTTATTTGTGTGGCCATTCACTTATTTATTTGTTCACCAAGTGTTCATGGAACTTCCGTTACATATCTAGTACTCCGTTAGGTCCTGTGGAAGGAACTGGAGACCAATCAGTGTGTTTTAGTTTGTAGTGTACAAGTCTTACACTTTTCTTAAATTTATTCCTAAATATTTAATTCTTTTTGATGCTATTGTGAATGGATCCATCTCTCAACTTTCAATTGCGCTACATCCCAATTGTCCAATTTTCTATGGGGTGTGTTAATTAGAATATGCCACTGAACTTGTAGTCTATTGTGTTGGGTAAGATACATTGGGAAAGTATCCTAAGTACCAGCTTTATACTCTGTATGGGGATGAGGGGCACGGACTTGGTTTTTAGTAGCTGCTTTCTGGTTTACTAACTGACTGATTGTGGTGGGATGTGAGCTGGCCATCCCTCAAAGGTTCAGTAGGATTTGGACAGGGAGATAGAGTATATTTAATCAAGTGAATTGATGGTCCCCCAGCCCTCTGTGATATCTTTGGAGACTGTGGGAGAAAATGTAGGATCAAAGGATCACTCCTGATCCTCAGGCAATAGCACTACTCAATTGGAAGATGATACATTAGTCTTCAGACCTGAGAAGTTACTCTCATTTCTATTAGGCAACTTTAGGGGCACTTGAGTAGGAATAGCTGCCTCACTGAACTACAGAAAGAAATAGGAGTTAGTGTCATTCTCCCAGGTTCTCTGCTTAAATGTCAATGCAAACCTGAATTTTTAGTTCCAAAGTATTTATGGGTAAGAATTAGAACTCTCAAACAATTCAATAGAATAATAGCCTCTATAGAAAATCAAGAATTATTAAATTTTAATCCTTGAAATATTTTGGCTAAATAGAGGTTTTCCATCTTTTCATTTTTTAAGGAGGACACAGTATCATGAGAGTAATTGTCTTATGTCTGCATTCTTCGCTTCCTGCTATACCATCCTTTAAAAATGTTACTTTACATCATGGAAAATTTCAGACAATCCCAAAAGTATAGAGAACAATATAATGAGCTCTCACATAACCATCATCCAGCTTTGACAATTGTAAACTTGCCCTCAACATCTCCTAATTCAATTTCTTCTGTGACATTAGCATTCCCAGCTATTTTCTCCTTTTTGTGTGCTCTTATATCCTTTTACCTTCTGGAAGCTGCATTTAGGTAAGTGTTAAAAATGGAGCTATCGCACTGTAGATTTCCCGATTTACTGTTTCTAATTAGCTGTAACATTTTGTGGACTGTCATTGTCATAGCCATTGAAGAAGCACGAAGACTCATCTCCACAGAAGATGCTTGTGGATGTGAAGGCACACTGGCATTCCAGGATAAGGTCAGCTCGTACCTGCAGAGACTGAACACTAAAAATATCCTTTCTGGAAAGTTTTCTGCTTTTGCTTAAAGCCAATTGTGCTACATCCCCATTGTCCATTTTCTACAGGGTGTTTGTTTGTTTGTTTAACTTTATTGGGGAACAATGTGTTTTTTTTGGGAACAATGTGTTTTTTCCAGGACCCATCAGCTCCAAGTCAAGTTGTTGTCCTTCAATCTTAGTTGTGGAGGGCGCAGCTCAGCTCCAAGTCCAGTCGCTGTTTTCAGTCTCATTGTGGGGGGGCACAACCCACCATCCCATGCTCGAGTTGAGCCTGCAACCTTGTTGTTAAAAGCACATGCACTCTAACCGACTGAGCCATCCGGCTGCCCACCGGCAGCTCAGCTCAAATCACTGTCTTCAATCTAGTTGTGGAGGGTGCACCTCACTGGCCCATGTGGGAATCGAACTGACTACCCTGTTGCTCAGAGCACTTGCTCTAAGCAGCTGAGCCACCCAGCTACCCTCTAGAGGGTGTTTTAGGTAGTACAACTGAGCCAAACATTTTAGGATATTCCACAGGATAAGGGCCCTTATTCCTTAAGTTTTAAGATGAACAGTAGTAATACTGTGCAGCTTTTCTTTTTTCTTTTTTTCTTTTTTCTTTTTTTTTTTCAGCTGAGCCATCCTGCTACCTGTTGGCAGCTCAGCGGCTGCTCAGCTCGGGCTGGACTCGAACCGCTGTTGCTCAGAGCTCAAACTCTTGAGCGAGCTCTTAACCAACTGAGCCACTCGACCGGCCCTCAGCTTTTCTTTTTTAAATTTAGACTTCTTTTTAAATGTTTTAATAGACCATTTCACCCATTTAATATTTGGTTGTAAAAGCTGCTCATTTCTTTCTCTAGTGCTTTTCCATGGCAGTATATGCTCCTAATTGAGCTCTTATTAACAGATGGAGCTATTGTGCTGTGATTACTTAATATGGCTTTTTTAGTTCAGAATCTGCACATGCACAGAATGAGTCAGCTGATTAATGGGGTGTGATAGCTCAGATGGCACATAGTTGTATATTTTGGCTAGACAAGTTGGTCAAAAATCAGATTTCAAAATGTAATGTGGTACCATCTCAGAAACTTTCAAAATTAGTTCTTTAGCCAAAAGGAGTAATTCAGGAAAGGTACTTTTTCTCAGCACAGCTCAAGTTAACTACACTGTTCCTGGGGATCTTAAAGGAATGGTATTTAAATTGTGATAGGGATACCCTAGGAGTATGCAGACTTTCAAGAGGTATGCTGTGTGTGTGTGGAGGGGAGTGAAGGTGGTGGACAGAAAGTTTTAAAGGGATCAGTTTCCAAATCCTTCACTTCCTTAAACTGATCTGCCTAAAATGCTACTTGGGGTCAGTTGGCATTCTGTTTTCCCATCCCTCACTTCAGTATCACCATTCTCTTAACTTTACACGTGAAAGGCATACATACATCTCCTGTAGCCTGAATCTTACTTACTAAGGTGAATTTCTTGGAAAAGTAAAATCTCCAGAGAGCCAAACAAAGGACAATTCAACAGTTTTTCAAATCAAAGCTTTATAAACACTGCTCCCCCAATCCATGCCATTTAGAGATACCTTTCAAATTAAATGGTATCATTTATTTTTTAATGATTTTATGTCAAAATTTTAAATTTATTTGTTGTTTGGATCCATTATGTTCTCATAATAGTTGTAATGATAGCTCAATCCAGATGATTAAAAAAAAATTAGGACCTTTTATGGCTAAAGAAAATTAACTTAAAGGTAATTTCAATATAAATGTGTGTGTGTTTTTTTTTGTTGTTGTTTAAGTTTACTTCAAAGAAGTATAATAGAGTGATCAAGACAAGATTTCCAAGATTCAAAGTAGAATAAAATTCTGTGGAGAAAGTAGAGAGGAAATACAAATTCAAAGAAATGCAAATTCCTTTATTTTAAATATTTTATTTTAGAAGAATGATACTAGATATCAATACAGTATGGTATTAATATTACATGGGATACAGTTGAAAGACTAATTTGAATTTTATTTTAGAGAGTCAATAGTTACAACATAGCAGAAATTTCATATTTTGTTACTAAACTTATGAAAATGTTCATATAATTTAAATTGCACAAAACATCACTTATGTGTCAAAATTTTAGGAACCTATGAGCAAAAATGTTTGAAGACTACTGCTTTATATCATGCTCTCTAAAGAATAGAATTTCCAAGTTTTAGATTACATTAGACTTTTTTTTTCATGCGGGAGTCAAACTGGCAATCTTGCTGTTAAGAGTGCACGCTCTATCCACTGAGCCATCCGGGCGGCAGCTCAGCTCAAGGTGTGACGTTCAGTCCCAGCCGCAGGTGGACGAAGCCTACCATGGAACAGGCAATCTTGTCATTAGGAACACGTGCTCTCACCACCTGAGCCATCCTGCCACCTGTTGGCAGCTCAGTGGCAGTTCAGCTCGGGTGCAGCTCGGGTGAAGCTCACTGGCCCATGTGGGAATCGAACCAGTGACCCTGTTGCTCAGAGCTTGTGCTCTTAAGCAAACTCTTAACCAACTGAGCCACTGGGCCCGCCCTACATTAGACTTTTGATGTGAAAGCAATTTCACTCTTTTTCTTGATTTACAATATAACGTGATTATTTTCTTTTATCTTGTATTAAAGTGTTTAAAAGGGTATTTATGTTTTCTAATATCTAAAAATAAATGCTGTTGGCCTTAACAACTAGCCACTTGATGACATTTTGGAGAAGTTGCAAGCAAATGAATATGGACAAATACGTCGTTAAATTGCTCAAAAATTTCACCTGGAAATATGGAGAACTTTGTGTATTTAATACTTTTGCATACTCCAATGTTCCTGCTAATAACTTGCCATTATAAATGCTTGAATATTACTGGATAAGTAGTTTGAGGATCTTCTGGGGAATCAGTGTCATTTTTCTAAGGAAATAAATATCCAGGTCCTCACTCAAAGCAAACTATAGTGTCTCTAATCTATGACTGTGAAATGGTTGGTAGGGAGTAAATGAAAAGTTTAATATTTCTTTATTTACTAATTGAGCCATTTAATTTTTAAATGTTTATGTTAGTAAGATAACTGTTATATTTACAATGGGAACTTTTGATCTATTTTCTCTTGTTAGTATTTATAGTATAAACCAGCCTTATTACGGACAGTATAAATTGTACAAAGTATTTACACATAAAAAGTTCCTTTAATTAAATTGCGATGAATAGAATTTAGAACTGTTTCTTTAATACTTTTTTTTTTTGCTTATTTTTTTGCTAATTATTGAAGCTGTGATCAGGGGATATATAATACATATATCTAAAACTACTTAACACAGATCTAGTGAATATTACATGCCCTTTTAAATTCATCCTGATGTTAGAAAGGATACACAACTAAAGACTTCAGTTGTGAATTAAGAGTGTTATAACTTCTTACCAAAGACAAAAAAATCCTAAGTTTACTTTAGGATCCAGTCAATAAAATTATATGTTTATAAATATTGCTATAACAAGAAAACCTAATGTTATCTTTTTAAATGTTAGTGATAAGCCTAACTTCTTTTCATTTACATATTTGATAGTTATAATTTTTTTCAGCTTTAAAGCTTATAACTTTTAGAAGAAAATCTTTTAAATTGTGTACTACTCAATTCTTTTTTTGGGGGGGTTGTATTGTCTTTAGTATAATAAAAAGTATCTTCATATGTTATTGTCATGCTTTTTTTGGTGACTTATTATACCAATTTTGTCTTTTAACATATTTCCCTCAATTAAGCTGAATTAACAATTGGTTAAATATATAACAGTTTCTGGTCAAAGAACACAATGTTGTGACTCTATCATTTATTCTCATGCTCTTAAGGTTAAGAATGTAAGTTCAGGTTAAATAGAAAGGCTTTAGTCAAGAATGTTATGGGAGAGGGAATAAAACAAAATTATCTAAATTTAGATAAAATGATGAAAATACCTATGTGCCTGAAAAGCAAATGTAACCTACAGATGTAAACCCAGAAACAGTCAAAACTCTAAAATCTAAACTTTAAGGGGACGAAATGAAAAATCCAAGGCAGTATATATTATATGAAACATGTATTGTTATTTCTCAACAATGTTGAAAGAACATGACATAGAGCAGTATTATTTCCCAAACTTATTTGAGCACAGAACCAGTAATCTATATTAATATATCACAGAGCAATGGTGTTATAGAAGGAATAAATGAGAACTCACATGCCAAGAACTAGGAAAAGGTATTTAGAGATGATTTTTCAAGAGTGTGACCATTAGTAACTAGCTTCAACTAATTATGTCTTAAATTTGACTGGTTGGTTGGAATAACCCCATCTTAGATAATACTCATTTGCTTCAAGGGTCCACTATAGGGATCCTGTGAGTAGGTATCAACGTATCTTAGGAATTTAGTTTATTACTGAAAAAACAAATACACGTACATTTGAAAATAAACACATATAGTATCTGAATGGGATGGGGATTAAGTTTGGAAAGAATTTTCCAGGGAGACGATTGGTGCGATGTTTGGGTAGGGTTAGCCACAATTGGCCAATGGGGTAGGAACATGACAGGATATATAAAATGGCCTTGGAAGCAGAGAGGAATGGCGGGATGCAGAACGTATACCGGCATGCTTAGAGTGGGAGTACCATAGGAAAGATATTTTAAGACTGAAGGAAGATCTGATTTTAGCTGGGGTTTATATTTTATAGGAAAGGCACGAGGACCATTGTAAATTCTTGAGTGTTCTGGGTGAGGCAATAGACTCAGGTCAAAGATTTGAACTTTATTTGTCTGAGATGGGAAAAGGCTAGGTGGGGGAATTAGCTACTGTGTGCATAAAGTACATACTAGATTATACAAATCAACAGTGGTAGCCACAGAATATGGTGAAAGGGAAAACCAGAGATAAATAAAAAATGGGTGAGATAAAATTGCACAGGAGTTTGTGCCCTCTGCCTGAAATTGTGGTGCTTTTAACTCTCCAGGGATTCAAAAAGGAGAAATGAAGAGAGAACGTAGGAAAGAGAATATAGAACAGTTGACTCCAGGTGAGAAAATAAGAAACACCTCAATTATTTAAAAATGGAAAGCTATGCCCCAATGGCAATTACATGCTGTGATGGCCCAAAGGTCATATATATTCTTTTTATAAGGACCCTTGGGCTGCAGTAACAACTTAAATAAGCTGTTAAAAAGTTCTAAAACAAACAGAATAAACACAAACTCCGACTCCCAAATTGCTCCAGAGGGTTCTCCAACCCTCAAAGGCGTAAGGGTAGGTTTGCAAGCTCTGAAAACGCATGTTTGCACTTTCATTTGCCCGAAGGCGCCAGCCTACCAAATGCAGTTAATGACTTTTCCCTTTCAACAACGTTGGGACTTGGGGGCTTGCAAAATACCCAACCATTGTGACCTCATTTGAATGTGCGCCTTTCCTCCCAAATTGATTCTGACACCTCATGAGTGTTTCACCGCGACCATCCAAGGTGTGGCGAGTGCTCCTAGCCCGCTGGGACTGAGGGCATCCGAGGCGATGGGGCAGGGCGCTCAAGGTCGCCGACCCGGCCCCAAGCGAGAGTAGAAAAGCCCTTGAAGCAGAGACCAGGCCAAACCACAACATCCGCCCCGCGACCCCCGCTCCTACGAGCCCCGCGACGTCCGCGCAGGCGCACGACGCCCGCTGGCCGAGGCGCGGTCGACACCGGAAGTACCCCACGGCGCCCCGGATGCAACTGGGCGGCGGCGGTTGCCTGGGCGACGCAAGCTTCAAAGAACCGCTCGTCCTGGCGATTGGCGACTGAGAACGAGTTTCCAGTTGCGGGCCTAGACGGCTGGGGTTGTCATCTCCGGCCTCCCAGGATGTTCTTTTACCTGAGCAAGAAAGTGAGTTTTCCGGGGGGCTCCCAAGTTCTTCCTTCGTTCCCGCATCCCGAGGGAGAGTCCCAAATCCCGCCCGCGAAGCCAGGGGTCCTGATCGCGGCTTCGCAGTCCCTCCCCAACCTTCCTGCCTGGTCCAGCATCAGACCTCCTGCCCCCGGTGCCTGAGTCCCAGAGAGTCCTTGGCGGAGCCAACAGCCCTCTCGCACGACTGTGTCCCATTCCTGCCCCCGGCCGGGTCCTTTTGCGTCCGTCCCCATCTTTCCTCCACCTGTTGATGATCCAGGTGACTTAAATTCTTTGGCCCATCACGGGTCACCGAGCAAGAGAAAAATACTACCCAAAGGGTAGCCTAAGTGTCGCGTGTGGAAAGGGAATTTGGACGGATGGTACGGATTTATATCTCCATGTCCCCCTCCTCCCTTTTAAAAATCTGTCAGGCGACTCCCCCGTTGGGTTCCTCCGTAGTCGCTGCCCTTGTGTGCACTTTTTTCTTTTCCAAATGGTAGGGCCCCGCGCAGATCAGTGGGACTATGTCCGTTTTTGTAACAATTCACATTTCTGCAAGGCCGACCCTTTTTCATTTTGGGGTCATTTTCTTCAGCCTTCATCTCCTGTGGACTCACTTCCCAACTCCTTCGTGAAGTCTTGTGAGTGGCTGTGGTTGCTTTTCAGGTTGCCATTCCTAATAACGTGAACCTGAAATGTGTATCTTGGAACAAGGACCAAGGATTCATAGCATGTGGTGGTGAAGATGGATTACTGAAAGTTTTGAAATTAGAGACACAGACAGGTAAATATATGCAAGCCCAAATGTCTGAACTTGGTAGAAAATTGGCTCATTTGTTTCAGAGTTGCTCATGTTATTGTCAGTATGCAATTTTAATTTTTTAAAAGGGACCCCCTCTCCACTCCAACACAAACACTTTGTGGTGTTTTTCTAGAGTGTTTTTGCAATTAAATTCAGAGAATATGAAGAATAAACGCCAGATGGCTTTTGCTGAAGTTATTGATGGAAAGTGAAAAAGAATGAAGAATGAAAACCGAGTCACCGTGTTGTCTGTGCTATGTCTGTTTATTGGGCTATTATATCTTATTAGGAGTCTCATAAAAATGATGTGTCAGCATTTCAGTGAGGTCCCAGAACCTTATGTTTTGGCAGATTCTGTATAGGTCTTTGTCCTCCTTTCTGCTTGTCAGATGTGTTAATGATTATGCACCATGTTCCCAAGAATAGAAAATGGGATTTAAAAAAACCCCGTTTTTTTATTAATAAGTCTCTTGTGTTTACAGCTTGATTTCTCCTTTTCTAGTTCTCTGGAATCATAGCAAACAGTTTCACATATGTTTAGCATCCCTAGTGTTGTTCCAGATTGGAGATCTAGACAGTCCCCAATTTAAGATGGGGATCTAGATAAGGAGATTGGAGTTGGAATCTCAGCTCTGCCCTAAGATTACTGAATGACTTTCGGCAAGTTGCTGAATATCTCTGGGCTTTAGTTCACTCTTTTGTAAAATGAGGGGTTGAACTAAAGTCCCTTTTGGGATCCGTACAGCATTGCTTCTCAAACTTTATCAGGCATAAGAATCATCTGCTGATGTTGTTAAAATGGGGATTTCTGCGCTGCAGCCCCAGATGGGATCTGAGAATTTGCATTTCTAGTGATATTGGGAATGCTGGTTCTCAGACCCCAGTTTGAGTAGCATGCTTTACAGCTTTGAACATGTATTTATAAGTATTTATTGAGCACTTTCTATGTACAGGGTGTTTAACCTTTGCTATTTCATTTGACTTCACAATAATCTTGAGAGGTAGGTATTCCAGATGGGAAAACTGAGGTGCCGATCAGTTAATAACTTGCCCAAGGTCACACAGCCAGTAAAATCCCAGACAGAGCTGGGAATTGAAACTACCTTTGTCTCCCTTTCAAGCCCTTGTTTTTAACCAGTGCACAAGGGCTCATGAACAGCCTAAGCAAACAGAATAACTGTTTTGATGTGTTAGATTAATTATATGAAATAAAAGACAGATTTGGACGGTAGATACTTATGTACCAATTAGAGTTTGGCTTCTGATGTTTAGTAATTTAATCTCCCAGTGTTTTGGTTTTCTTAACTGTCTTAAAAGAAAATAATTTTTCTCTGTTATGTTTTTTATAAGTATATGTATATGTTTGTAGGTATATTTATATATACATTTTTATTTTCCTTAAAATATGTAGCAAGTTTTAGTTATGTTAAGAAATGCATTCATGATGTTTAACAATGAAGGCTTTTCAAGAAAAAAAATTACTTATTTTTCTATTCCTCACTTTTAATGAAGTGGGGTTAGAATATTTTTTGAAATTAGTGAGCAAGATGGAAAAATAGATTCTTGAGAAGAGTGGAAAATGGAGTAAATTATTTGTTTTGGCTCTTCATAGCGATTATAAATCATGTTGGAAGAGATAAATAGGAGAAATGTGGCTGGAAAATTCTAACAAAATGGTGCATTGTAGTTAATAATAATAGCTGTACTGTAGCACATCCCTCCAGTAACAACCACTGGATGCCACATGCCTTCTACATGTCAGGCACTGTGCTGTGGTAAAGAGGTGACATTGTAAATGCTGTTTTGGAGCTTATCTACAAAATAGTTAAGTGATTAGCATTCATCAATACGTACGACAACCCTCTACATCAATAAAACATCTTCTATAGTGTCATGGTTTTTTTTTTTTTTTTTAATTTTATTGGGGAACAGCCATGGTCATTGGTTACATGTTGCTTTCATGCTACAATGGCATAGTTGACTGTTTTAGGGAGGGTGCAACTCACAGTGGCCCATGTGGGGATCGAACCGGCAACCTTAGTGTTATCAGCATGATGCTCTAACCAACTGAGCTAACTGGTCCCCCCTGCCCCGCCCCGACATTGTTTTGTGAGCAAAGAATATTTTTCATACTTTTAAAAAGATACATGTTTCGTGAAAGTAGAGTTTTTTAGCATCAACTTTTATATTTCCCATTCTCACAAATGTTTAAGAATCTAAAATTCTTACAAAGACTTCATAATTTTTCCTATGCCGAGCACTCCTGCCTCATCGTATATGATTCTGCTCTAATTCAACCACATAGGCCTTCTTTTCAGTTTGTCAAAGGCTCTGCGCTTCTACCCAGGGCCTTTGCATGTTCTCTCCCCTCGCCTGGAATTCTCCCTTCCTTTTTCTACCCTGCTGGGCTATCTCCAGTTTATCCCTCAGTCTCAGCTTAAATATAATTTTTTTTTTTTCACAAACCCATGCCTGGTTCTCCTTTCCTCTGATCTAAATTGATCTCCGTCTTTTACTATGCCTTTACTTCTTCAGTTTATAATTACACACACACACACACACACACACACACACACACACACACACATACATTTATGTTGGTATGTGAGTGTGTATTTAATATCTGACCCCTCAGTAGACTACAGGCTCTCTGAGAGGAGAGGCCTTAACTATTTTGTTCATAATTTTATATCCAGAACCTTCCACAGTGCATAGCACAGTGTAGGCATTCAGTAAATATTTGTTTAATGAATGAATGAGTATAAGACCTTGCCAAATCTAGTAAAAACCGGTTTTCAAAATCTTTGCTTTTTGATCCCTCTTATACTTTAGAGTTTTCGATCTGTGTCATAAATATTTCTATTTGTGATCTTTTGGGAAGGAATAAGTAGTAATAATAATTACTAAATATTGAATATATTGAGTAAAAATGTTCTTTTATGCATTTTGCTTTCTTTTGCCAGAATATCTTTGCAAGGGGGTGTGTATTATTGTCCATGTTTCCACCATGAGTAAAACAGGTCATAATGAGGCATGCTTTTTATTTATTTATTTATTTTTTAATTTAAAAAAAATTTTTTTTTTTTAAAGATTTTTATTGGGGAATTGGGGGGATGGGAACAGTGCTGGGGAATGGGGGAAAGGGGAACAGACAAGTTGTTGTCGTTTTTTTGTTCTTCAATCTAGTTGTGGAGGGCGTTGCTTCACTGGCCCA